TAGATGTGAAAAACATTACCACTGAAATCTACCTGACAATTTTATATTCATGCTCAAATGGCAAGGAGCTCAGAAAGTAACCAACTGTGACTAGTAATAATCAGATATATAGAGATTAGAAACGCATGTGCAAACATCTTAATGTCAATTGCATTAAAATGAATTTTTCTGTATGAAACTGTGTATTTTAATAATGAAATGGAGATCTTTTTTAAAGGTTAAAACCTCACTTAATTCTTTGTCTTACAGGGTTTATACTGAGTACAATATTATATAACTGTAATAATTCAACTGTAAACCTAAAATTTTACTGCCAATTTTGAAAGACAGGCATCTTAACTCAGGAAATTGTTGTTGACTATGTCAGTGCTGTTGTAATGAAATGCTTCTTCTAAGTATGTGGTTATTAAATAAATAGTTTTAAAAAATAAATAAATAAAATTTAAGAAAAGAAGTGGAGCCTAACAAAATGTGGTTCTAAGACTAGGGCACTGCCCTTGTTGGGAATTAATATAGTTCTTACAGGACTCTAGTCAGTTCTTTTAATTTTCTTGTTTTTATTTTATGTGGATAAGTGTATTGCCTGCATGCATGTAAGTGTACCTGTGTTGTGCAATGCCTTCAGAGGCCAGGAGAGCAATTCAGATCACTGGAACTGGAGTTACAGATGGTTTTTAGCTGTCATGTAGGTGCTGGGAACTGAACCCAGGTCCTCTGCAGGGGCAGCCAGTGTTCTTAACCATTGAGCCATCTCTCCAACACCCCTCTCCCCAGTTAGTTCTTAAAAGAGCAAGTTGCTAATAAAAGAGTAATCAGCCCCTGAGTCCCTCTCTGGCTTCCTGTCTCACGTGATCACATGCTGGCACCACTGTCAGGCCATCTGCCATAATGCCCTCACCAGAGCCAGACTGTCAGCTAAATAAAACTCTTTTCTTTTCAAATTTCCCAGCCCAAGTGTGTTGTTACAGCAACAATGGACTAACACACAGAATAAAGTCACCTCCCCTATTTCTGAATCCACTCAAAGAGATTTTAAAGCAATACCTTCTTTCCCAGAGTTCTTTCATAAAAGGGGAAGAAAAGGCATTTTGATATCGCTACCAAAATAAGCAAGTGACACCAGAAGCAGGGAAGCAGCTCACTGAAGTGGTCCTGTCCCCACATGAGACCCACATCTGTCCAAGAGCAGAAGATTCTTGAGGTCCAGTGTGTGCGGCATCCTAGGCTCTGCCGCTTTGAGGCACCTGCACCCTCTTGTTGGAGCCCCAGAGACCCACCCAGCACCCCGAGGCCATGCTTACCTGCGCATTAGCTTCTTAACTTCCCGGTCTTCTTCCTCCTGGAGCTTCTGAATGAAGCTTTTAAGGACCGGCATCTCGAATTTTATGTACTGGGCCACCTGTGGAGGAAGAAATCAGACCCACGGTGGTGTTAGCCAAATTCTTTTTGTCGTTGCTTTCCATCAGTGCTCTATTTTTCCATTAACTCGGGACTTCCTTAAAGGCAAGAGCCAAACCTCATTCTTCTCAAGGCTGGCAAGTGGTCTGCAGCGAAGCTTCTTGTGTTTATATGACACCCTCTTTAAACTGCTCAGTTCTCATCTCACCATTGCAATCCACAACCCTGGTAAACTCCAACAGAAAAGCACTTTCCCTTGCTCTAGTGATGCCAAGAACGAGTTCATAATATTTAACAAACTCCTGGGCTGGGAGTATAGCCTAGCACGGGAGAAACTCCAGGTTTTATCCCCCAAAGCTAAAAAACAAAACCCCAAACAAAAAACTCACCTATAATAAACTACTGTTTGGGCATGATATAGGTACATCTCTGTGAGACTGAGGCCAACCTGGTCTACATAGAGAGTTACAGGGCATCTGGGGCTGCAGGGAGACCCTGTCTCAAGAAACAAAACAAGGGGACTAAAGAGATGGCTCAGTGGTTAAGAGCACTGGCTGTTCTTCCAGACGACCCAGGTTTGGTTCCCAGCACCCACATGGCGGCTAACAACCATCCTCTTCAATTCCAAGGGATGTGATGTCCTCTTCTGGTCTTTGTGGGCATTGTATGTACATGGTACACTTACATGCAGGCAAAACACTTATATAAATAAAAATTTAAAAATAAAAAACTGCACTGTTCTCAAGAGAATATGAGGAACTGTCACAGCACAGCATGTCTGAGCTTGGCTAGGTGACTGTGGCCACCAGAACGCCTGCAGACATGACACACTCTAGATCTAAGTAGAGCCTTTAAATACAGTGGTTTGAAATACTTTTTGAAATTATTTATCATATGTATTTGATGTGCGTTCGTGTACATGTTTGTGTTTATATGAACATGCATGTAAATGGGCTCACGTGGTGTAGGTCAGAGGACAGCCTCGTGTGCCCAGCCTCCACATCTTCCACCATGGATGAGACAGGGTCTCTTATTGTTTGCTACTGCATACACAACAGGCTAGGCAGCCCAAGAGCCCCTCAGGGCTCTCCCATCTCCACCTCCCATTTTGCTCTGGGAGCACTGAGATTACAGACACATGCCACTGCTTTATGTGAGTTCAAGGGCTTTGAACTCAGGTCCTCACATTTGTGCAGTGCTTTACCCACTTAGCCGTCTGCTTAGCCCCAGACTCATTTCTCTGGTTCCAGTCAACTGCTGTGAGGAGGAGTACAACGCAGGCAGCCGCAGCCCTTCAGCCTGGGTCTAAGGTACACAACGCTGACCCATCCTACCCCAGATCCTAGCACAGGCCACTGCTGCCAGCCAGAAGGATCATGAGAAAAAAAATGTGAGTGACTGTCAGAAGCTATCAGATTTGGGGGTGCTTGTTACTGTGTAAACTGACACCTAAGAAAAGAAATTCACAGTTGACTTCTCGGTGTGAAGAAAGTGTTTCTAAAAGTTCTCAAAGCTCTCTCAATACTCATGAAAGGTTCAAGAAATTCATTTCTTTTGTGTAAACTATTTTCTGCTGGAGCATTCTCTAACAATTCCCACAAAGCTTACCCTCAATTGGTGTCAAAAGAACCTGATATCAAAGAATGGTAGTCAAAAGGGACATTGTTCTTAGTCAAAAAGTCATGTTACACCTCAACCAGCCCCCAGTCCTGCTGAGGACAGACCAGTAAGCAGAAGGGAACTCACGTCATAGGTGATTTCCTCCACCTGGTCCTTCTCCATCAGGAACACTTTGGAGACCTGCTCACACGGGCCCTGGAGGATGCGGGCGACCAGGGGGTAATCGGAGTTCTTCAGCTTCTGCTTTTCTGAAATCAACACAACCAGGAAACGCTGTGAGCTGAGCCTAAGACCTTTCTCACCATGAATGGTGGACAACTCAGGGGTCCAAATGGACCAGGCACCTTAGAAAATTCAGCCTCACAAGTCAGGAGACTGTTTTGCAATTAACTATTCAACAGCTGTTGTTAAAGCAATGCCCCTCCTTCCCTCACTACCCATGTGTCAAGCCCTTTGGAAGATGCCACTAGGGAGGAATTGGGTGTCTGCCCCTAGAGAAAATTTAGTTCATTTTCTAATAGGCAATTACATTTTGGGGTGTAATGTTACTGCCCCCTATGGCAATCCCCAAGGGACTTGTCCAGCAAGCCCAGTAGCCTTGGAGACAATGTTTGGAAGTTTCTAAAACCCCAACGACAGGTAAATAGGGCAGAGTATTTTTTTTCAACTTGCTATTTTGAGTTAATTGAAAGTTGTGAAGTGCACTGTGTTTAGACTCACCACCGCTGGTGTGGACCACATACAAAGCAAACTCCTCTGCTGAATTCTCAATCTGAATCAGGAGCAAAAGAGACTTGTTGAAAGTATGTACTGAAGGATCCTAGCCTTGAGCCCTTCCTGCTGCCTCAACTCTGCAAAGCTAGATTCTAGGCTTCTGCAAAAGGCCTTTTATTTACAACTCTGAAAAATAATGAAGAGATGCGGCAGGCAGACAACTTTATATAATGCCAGATAATACCACCTGAGCATCCTCTACTTGAAGTGCTTGGGGTAAGAAATGTTTCAGATTTCAGAGGTTTTCAGGTTTTGAATTATCTGCATAAACGTTTGCCAGTTGAGTATTTCCAATCCAAATATCTGAAGTTTCTGATGTTGGTGCATTTCAGATTTCGAGCTTTTGGACTGGGGATGCTCAACTAGTAAGAACGCATCATAATGTAAAGGCTCACACACTTCACATGTGTTAACTCATCTCATCCCATAACATGTGCCTACCATCCTCCTTTTACAGATAAAGCATGAACACAGAGATTAAGACACTTGTCCTACTCAGCCAGCTTGCAGATGATGTGTAGGGACTAAACCCAGAGCCTTGTGTCTTAAGTTGCACCAGCTTCCATGAAAAATAAGAATACTCAAGCCAGTAAGATAGCTAAGTGGGTAAGGGCAGTTTTTATAGAAGTCTGATGACTCGTGTTGGATCCTTTGAACCTAAAGGTGGAAGGAGGGAAAATGACTCCACAAAGCTGTCCTCTGGCCTCCACACATGTGCTGTTGCACATACTCCTGAACATATACATCATGTGTTCATACACACACCCCACCCATACATACACAGATAATAAGTAAAAAACAATTTAAAAAACAAGATTTCCAGGGCTGAGAGTGTTAGTAGTGCAAAAGTTACAGAACATGTGTGAAGTCTTGGGTTAGACTCCTAGCACCATAAAAAAGAAACAGATAAAAATAAAATGTTTTCAGAGATGGCTCAGTGGTTAAGAGCACTTGCTGCTCTTCTGGAGGACCTGAGTTCGGTTCCCAGCACCCACACTGGGTGGTTCACAATCACCTGTACTCTAGCTCCAAGGGGATCCAAAACCATCTTCTGGCCTCTGTGGGCACCTATACACCTGGCATATATAGACATATACACATACACATAAGTTTAAAAGTAAATAAATAAAACTATTTTTAAAATGAATATTAGCCAGACATGATGGCTCATACCTCTAGTCCCAGCTACTTGGGAGGCTGAAGCCAAAGAGTGTCTTGAGTCCAGAAGTTTGAGACCAACCTTGGCAAATAGTGCAGCCTCATCTCAAACAATACTAATACTACTACTAATAATAATAAAACAAACTAACAAATAAATAAATAGACAGTGTCTGTGATGGCTAGTTTTGTCTTCTTAGAAGAATTATTTTATCTGTATGTGTGTTTTGCCTGCATGTATGTAACTGTACCCATGTCATGCAATGCCTGCAAAGGCCAGAAGAGGGCATCAGAGTCCCCTGGACCTGGAGTTATGGACACCTGCCAGCTGCCATGTGGGTGCTGGAGCCAGAACCCAGGTCATCTGCAAGAGCAGCCAGTGCTCGTAACTGCTAAGCCATCTCTATAGCCCCTAGTTTTGCCATCTTGACACAATCTAGAATCACCAGAGAAGGGAGTCTCAACAAGGGACTGTATAGATTAGATTGGCCTATGGGCCTGTGGGTGTGGGAATTATCTTGATTACATTAATTGAGGTGGGAAGATCCACCCACCGTGGAAGACACCAATCCCTGGGTAGGGGATTCAGAATTGTGGGGAAGCAGGTATGCATTAATTCACTGCTCTCTGCTCTTGAGTGTGGATATGACCAGCTGTCTCAAGTTCCTACCACTGTGATTTCCCAGCAATGAAGGAAACCTGAACTGTGAGCTAAAACAAACCTTCTCCCCTAAGTCGCTTCTGTTAGGGCGTTTTATCTCAGCAACAGAAGTGAAACTAGGACATTCTTCAAAAGAGTTATAAGGATATTGAAAAACAGAGTAACAAGACCTTAAAAGCACCAAGCACATCTATTAAGAGCCTGCAACATTGTTCTAGAAGTCGTCTGTGTGCTGAGCCCCAGAGCTGCGTGTCAGGAGCCAGGCTCATAGATGGTGGCCCATGAAGTGCCTGAGGGTGGTGCTTCTCTGACTTTGTGGGCAAAACTGCAGGCCTGGTACGAGGCTTCCTGACCTTTTCTGGGAGTTACTGACTTAGCAGGTCTGGGATAGGCCAGAGAATCTGCTTTTCCAACACGCTTCTGGATGATGTTGGTGCTGTGGGTCTACCTTGAACAAGGTTCCAAAGAGCCCAAACCACCCTCTAGCCAGCATACCCAAAACTGCTTACTCTCCAACTCCCCCACAGATCCCAGGGCTCACAGCCAGCAGAGGGAACTTACCTTAAACTTGTTGAGCAGCAGCCTCAGGACCTGTGGGGTGGTCATGGTGCTGTTGATGCGGACATTGGTGACAGAGCCATAGGCTGGTGTGAATACTGATGTCTGTCAACAGAGGGGTCTGGCTTAGTGTAGGAGTAGGGACAAAGATAGAGCATTAAAACTCTAGTAGGTATAGGGTACAGGGACAACAGTACTCAAAATGTGCTTGAGAGGGGACCCTGGCATTCTGGTCAGTATCAGGCTTCAATGTAGACAAAGTGGCCCTCAAGGTCTGCCTAACTTGGGCTGTGCCCCTGGCTCAGGATGGAGTCTCCGAAGAGCAGGGTTGGGGTGGGTAGTAAAGTAAATAAGTAAAACAAGTGGGTAGTAGAGTAAGTAAGTAAGACCAGCCAAGTAAAATAAAACAAAGATCCTTCTGGTGGGAGTTTAGCATAAGGTGGTCTCTGGCCACCCTCCTATCAGGCACTTGCTTCTGGAGGTAGAATTTGAACCAAGCAGCAGAAACAAGAGAGGGGTCAGATAGCTTGGGTCCCCATGATGGCCGTGTGTCAGCTGAGACTTCCAGCTTTGCTCAAAGACTGACTTCGGCTCAACGGAAAGTCAGACCAATGTAAGAAATAAATCATTATAGTCTACTTTCAGTTTGATGTACATTGGAGAGTCACAGATAAGCAGTAGGCCCCTGTCTTCCCTAACTGGCATCTGGTGTTTGCTTGTCTAGACCCTCTCATTTGATCCTAGGGTTGAGATGTTGTAAGCAGTCTGCTACATGACTGAGCCCATGTATCAGAAAAGGGGGAAATTTCAAGCCCCAGGATATATATTAGAACCAATAGGGTAGGGGTCTGGGAAGGAGGCGATATTAGACACTAGGAAGATTGGACTTCCCTGAAGAACCCAGTCAATGAGGAATTCAGGGGCAGTGAATGCGATTAGGAATATAAAAACCACTGCTCGGTGTCAAATCAGCTTGTCAGACTTTCCTGCCTTTTCTCCAGGCGGACACTCAACTTTGCAAGTTTATAAAATAAACTGCTTGTTTTCACAACTTACAGACAGAATAGAAAATCCTTGGTTTCCCAAGCATCCCACCAGGGACCACATGGCTGTAGTGCTGAAGTGACTGATGCCCTGGAAGTGGTGATGTCCCTGGGGCTGCCCCCTCCCCCAAAACCACTCTACCTTGTGGTTGTAGAAATGTCCATTGATGGAGAAGCGATGACGTCTGATCCGCCGCTGATCACTGGGTGTCCTCACATTGCCACGGCGACGTACCCCAACATCACTGCGAGTGCGCATCAGCTGTGGCGTGTCCTCCTGCACAGGCTTCAGGCCCCTGGAGTCTGAGGAAAGGGGGAAATGAGCTGAGCCAGATCCTGGGCTCAGACCCCAGTTCTACACTGCCTTTTCCTGGCCTCTTTGTGCCTAGTTTTCTGAAGGGGTAACAAGAGCACCGATCTTACAGAATCATAGTGAGGGCTTAAACAACTTAATACACATACAACACTTGGAACAGTGCCTGGCACAGGCCAAGTGTGATCTAAGATCTTGCCAGATAGTGCAAATGAATGGTCGCAGGGCACAGCATGGGAGAACCTGAAAGGTGGTATGCTGGTGAAACCAGCCAGTTACTAGAAGACCTGCGCTGTGTGATTCCACTCATGTGAGGTGCTCAAAGTGGACAAAATCCCAGAGACAGAAAGTTAAATTGGCTGAGGAACTGCGGAATGGGGTTACTGCTCAGTGGCACAGACTTAACTGGGGCTTTTCATCTTGTTATGTTTCGCAGTGTGAGAGGTCAAAGCCTTGCATATGTGAGGCAACTGCTCTACCACTAAGCCCAAGTTCCAGTTTCATAAGATGAAGGAAATTTCAGAGATGACCAGTAGTGATGGCTGTACAATATTAATGAATGTATTTATCCCACCACACTTTGCAATGGCTAAGACTGAAACGTTACAGATATTTCACAATAAAATTGAGAAAATGTTTAATAGAGCACTAAATGTAAGTAGTTGGGTCTCTATGCATATCTAGTATAAACACTGAATCAGGCTTGGTGTGCTAGTGCACGCCCTTAATCCTAGCACTCAGGAGGCAGAGACAGGAGGATCTCTGTAGTTCAGGCCCTTTTACTCTACATAGTGAGTTCCTGGCCAGCCAGGGCTACATAGTAAGGCCAGGCCTCAAAAAAGCAAAATAAGGGGCTGAGAGATAACTCAGCAGTTAAGAGCACTGACTCTTACAGAGGTCCCAGGTTTGGTTCCCAGCACCCACACGGTGGCTAACAACCATCTGTGACTCCAGGGGAGCTGACACCCTCTTTTGGCTTCTGCAGGCATTGCACGCATGGGTATACTTACATGCAGGCAAAACATTCATACACGTAAAATAGAAATAAATAAATCAAATAAACAAAAACATTGAATTAAGCAACTGATGAAGTACAAGATTGATCTGCTTTTAGTGAAATATGTTTAGCTCAAGTTTTATATAGAGATAGCATATAAATGTATAGATTACAGACATTTTACATATGTAAAGATTGGCAAATTACAAATACACATCACCTCATGGCCAGCAATCCTACCAGCGAGAATCCCATGGACACACTGACCCCTGTGTGAAGTGCCAGCTGCAGAGGCCGACATGGTCTATGAAAGCAAAGACTGTGGCTTTACGGTGATCAAAGAGTCATTGTCCACACACGTAATACTGCGGCACTGGGCAGGACAAGGAAGGCTTTACGAACTTGCACAGAACAAGCTCCATGATGAACTGGTACATGGAAACAGCGCTGTGCTAAATGCTAAAGGTGCTAAAGGAGTAAGGGAAGAGGCTGCATGTCACTCCAGAAGTGTAGCGGGCCATCCACCTGGATCCGAGTGCATCTTCTCATGTCATCAGGAAGGATGGAGCAGGCTACTTCAAGGGAGGAGGTAGGAGATTTTAAATTCTTTCCTTTTAACAGTCTTGAATCATGTGCATTTCATACATTTACCAAGAAAGTGACCATTCAAAGCATCTATCACAGCAGCTGTCACCAGCTGACCGAGCTGGAGGTGCCTCCTCTGCTCACGTACCTGTGGGGCCAGGTGTCTCACTGCTGTCAGAAGGGGAATCCATTTCTGAAATCTGAACCTTGGGGATGGTCAGGGGCTTCAGGATGGTGCTAGGGGCAGCAAACAAAAAAGACAGAGTCTGGTTTAGCCCCTTTGAGGACACATCCTTTTCTACAGCAGGAGCATTGCTCACACCAGGCAGGGTACCAGCACGTCAGGCAAGAAAGATGCAGGCAGACCTTGCTGAGCATCCAGGAGGCTAGTCCAGCTCCCGATCTATACGCTGGGAGGGAGTGGGGAGCTCAGGAAAAAGAAAATATTCTTTCCTCACATCTGCAGCAACACAAGCATTCAATTCATCAGATCCAGAAGGGAGAACACCCCAAAACAAAGCCTGTGTGTGGCCTGCACTGGGTTTCAAAGCACGTGTGGGGTCTATGGCTCATTAGAAAAACCCTAATAACAGCTATTTGTTTCTCAGAACAGGACTCCAGTCTGGGTTTATTTCTGTTGGAGGAGTAACTCATAAATTGCTTTTCACATCTACAGGGAGTGGAAGGCACTAGGCTGTCTACCCTGAGGGTCAGAACAGGCACCAATCGCTGCTCTCAGAGTGGCAAGCTGGAGAAAGGGTCACAGCAGACAGTCTGAGCTAAGACCTGGATTTGCTGTGATAACTGGTGAAACCTCCTCAAAGCCAAAGAGAGAGCACTGGAGGCAGCTCAGAACACACCCAAACTCAACAGAGGGTTGGTCAGAAGGAAGAACAGTTGACCCTTGGGACCACAAAGAGAACTGGAGCTTCCTGGAGCCCAGTAGAAACAGGCTCGTGTTCTAGGGATGATGGTTTTAAGGGAGGCCTGAAAATCCAAAAGAATTTCTCTTCAGAGCTTCTGATCTAGCATGGATCTAGTCTGAGCCCCTCAGAGACTGACAGAAACTTGGCCCAGATTGGCCCCTCACACTTCCTGATCCAAAACAGAAACTGGCCTCAGCATCCTCCTAAACACAGTCCTCCAGCCATCACTTAAGTTCACTGGAATCTGGGACATGCTCCTGAAAGCCCTTAAAGTATTTACAGGTTTCAAGGACCAGCCTGATGTCACAAGAAGGACGAGGAGCCAAGAATGCAGACAAAGACCTGTGCCACCCCTGCCTGGGCACCACAGGCAAATTAAGTTTTTCAGATCATCTCCTGTGAGGAATAGAATATAACAATCTATAGGTCAGAGTCAAAAATGGCAGTTTGGCCCACTGGAAGCCAAATACAGCGCAAGTGCTGACAGTAACAGAACCCAAAGAGCCCTGACCAGGCACCAGCCCCCCGCAAAGCCCACTGGGCTGGGCAACAACTTCCCTCCTTGAATTCTCTTGGCAAGAGCCCAGATCAGTCCCAGGGTTTGGCTGTTCTTAGATGTTTCTTAACAGAGGAGAAAGATACACTCAGCCTTGGAATGCAACTATGTTCCAAACAGCCGGAGGGAGGGCTTGGTTCCTCTTTTAACGCATCTCTGTGGTTTTGGAGAAGGCAGCACACTCCACCCAGGCTCTGGCCTGAAGCTGCCAATCTCAGCAAGTTTCAGGGGGAACAAAGCTAATCACTTGACCCTAAAACAAGTCCTGGAGAAAGCGAAAAGGGTGTGCCTTTGCACCCAGCTACTCACTTGACCATGAAGGGGAAGGACAGACAAGTCTCCAAGGACCTTGTGGTGAGGACATGGAGGGCATCTTCCAGCCTGTACCATGACTTAATTCTAGGTGCACAGCAGCCCTTGGCTGACCTCACTTGGCTGGCTCCGGCATTCCGTTTTGTCCTTGGGCTCCACCACGACCAAGAGAGTTCTGGTCAGCAGGTTCAAGCCCTAGATGTCCCTGGAGCAGGGCCATTCTAATTGGGAGGATATGTGTGGGTTGGCACCCTCTCAGAAGCCTGCAAGCTTGGCTCAGTGAAGCACTAAAAAGAACCCTAAAGGAGTTAGAAGGGTGGTTAAGGAGTTAAGAACACAGGCTGTTCTTCCAGAGGACCCAGGTTTGATTCCCACAGTCTATAACTCCAGTTCCAGAGGATCTGACACCCTCTCTGGCCTCCATGAGCTCTGCATGACATGGGTGCACTTACATACATTCAGGCAAAACAGTCATACACATAAAATAAAAATAAATGTTTTTTTTTAAAGATCCCTGGAGACTCCAAAGATCTCCATGAGGGAGGACCCACTGGCACCCAGGCCTCACAGCATCCCCTCACCCTGCAGACTCAGCACCGTCCCTCTTCACTCTGACCTCAGTGACTGTGGGAGACAGCCCAGAGGCCCCTTTCTCACCACCCCAAGACCACAGTAGGGAGCAGTGGAGGTGGTGAGGACTGGGACCAGGGTCCCATTTGCTGGAAGATGATGTTTTACACTCGAGGGGACACCAGGAACCCCAGAAAGACACCTCCAAACTCTTCTCTTTCACTCACCCCTGAGCGCCCAGGTTGCAGCCAGAGTGCCAGGAGGAGGAGGACGGAGGTGGGCGGATGCGCTCGTGGTCATCCTGCATCTGCAGCCGGATGGGCCTGCGCAGCCCCCAGGAGATGTTCAGCAGCCCCTCAACGATGAATTCATCTTCTTCCTGCCATGAGCAGCCAGTAAGCTGAGCCCGGAGCATATCCACAGGATGTGAGCAGTAAACACAGTCCCGGCTCTGAGGCAGGCTCTGTTGTAAAGGTCCCCCACCCCAAGTGCTCTGCAGCTGACCTCAAAGATCAAAACAAAAGTAGCTATGAAGTGGCTGCAGCCCAGGGAGAGCTCCTGCCAGCGTGTGGGAGCCTTCTGTTGGGTCCGTAGCATCACACACAAAAAGCTTCTTTGAAATTGAAGTATATATGTGCAATACATCAGATGTTTTTACTGCCTTTAGCCTAACAGCTTTTAAGAAATCAGAATACAGTGGTCAGGTATGATATAGCTCATGCCGATAGTGCCTGTACTCAGGAGGCTGAGGCAGGAGAATTGCCATGAGTTCTAGGTTAGCTGGGCTATATAGTGAGTTCCAGGTCAGTCTGAGCTACAGAGTGAGAAAAGACAAGGAAGGGAGGAGGGAAGAAGGAGGGGGGGGACGGGGAAGGGAGGAGGGAAGAAGGAAGGGCTGGGGGGGAAGGGAGGGACAAACAGAGGGAAGGAAAAAGGGAGGGAAGGATGATCATAACACATCTTTTAAAAAGTTGAGACCGGGGGCTGGAGAGACAGCTCAGCAGTGAAGAGCAGGTTTGATTCCCAGCACCCACATGGCGGCTATGAACCGTCCTTAACTCCAGTTCCAGGGGAATCCGACACCCTCTTCTGATCTCCATGGCATTGCACAACACGGGTGCATGCACATACATGCAGGCAATACACTCATACACATAATATAAAAGTAATAAAAAAAAAAGTTGAGACTGGGGGCTGGAGAGATCAGTGGTTAAGAGCACTGACCGCTCTTGCAGAGGACCTGGGTTCGATTCCCAGCACCCACATAGTGGTTAACAACCATCTGTAGTTCTAGTTCCAGAGGATCTGATGCCTTCTTCTGACCTTGGAGGGCACTGCATGACATGGGAGCACTTACACACATGCAGACAATACACTCATACACATAAAATAAAAATAACAAATAAAATATTTTTTAAAATGTTGAGACTGGAAGCGGACATGATAACATACTCCTTTAATCCTAGGCACATGAATCTCTGTGAGATCAAAGTTTGCCTGGTCTATATATCGAGTTCTAGGCTACCTAGAGCTACAGGGAGACCATGTCTCAAAAAAAAAAAAAAAGCAAAAATATTTGTTTGGGGCTGGAAAGATGGCTCAGTGGTTAAGAGCACAGGCTGCCCGTGCAGAGAACTGGCTTTAGAAGCAAGAACTAAATCCTTAAACTGGCTGTTTTCCCCTCCTGTCACCAAAAGTAGTATGTCTTCGCCTTAACATAGCAATCCGGCATGACTGGTGCAGGAGAGCCAAAGCGACATTTCCTCAGGTTACTACAGAACACTAGCTCCTCCACTTAGGGCTGTTGCCTTAAAAGGGTATCAAGTGGTCGTGAGCAGCCTTGCTAATATGTTTTTTTAGCAGAACTTTCCAGTGCTAATAATAAGCTAACACCCCACTATAACTCTGCAAGAGATGAATGAATCCTCCAGGAATTCCAAAGTTATACTCAAAGGTTGTTGACTAACAAGAAGTTGAATGTGAAAACCTTTCTGAGGGCAGAACCTCCTGTCTCTTCAGACTGTGAGACTCTCAAGTCATGTGGCCTCTGAGAGTTTACGAAATCAAGCTCATGTATTAAATGCTTGGTCCTCATCTGGTGGAACTGTTTGGGGAGGTGGCAGAAACTTTTGGAGGTGGGGGCCTGGCTGGAGGAAGCAGGTCACCTAGGGGAGAGCCTTTGAAGGTTCTATCTGTTCTCCAGTGCTGTCCTGTGTTGCTGTAAAACTTCCTGTTTCCCTTGAGGTGAAGAAGTTCCTCGCCACAACTGCCACCACCACGACTGCCTGAGCACACAGGGCCAAGCAGCCATGGACCAAACCCTCTGAAACTGTGAGCCAAAATAAATCTTTTCTCCTTTTAAGTTGTCAGGTATTGAGTTCACAGCTACACAGAGTAACTAATCCGAGGACAGACCAGGACAGCTGTGCAAGGACAAGGCTCTTGCTCATGGCCCAGACAGCAATCAATGCCCCATAAAGATAAGGTTTCTTTTCTCCCTTCTGAACCCAAGCCCCAGTAACGGTCATAGGAGTCAGTGCTGAGCCATGACCACAGCTTCAGGACATCTGCTCAGTGAACAACTGAGCTGGGCTAAAGTATTGTCCTTGGGAGGACGGGGAGATAAGACAAGATGGGAAAGGAACAGGAACAACTTTAGGGCCTTGGGGATCTTGAGGAGAAAAGCTTTATGTAAGCAGGGGTGTTTCTGTGGCTTCTGACTGGCCAGACAACCTTCCCTTGCCTCCCTGCAGGATGGAATTTATCCCACAACAGGACTCTGCATAAGTGAAGTTCTTTAAGGGACACAGGAAAGGCCTTTGTATCCTATATCCTAGCCGCCAATAGCTTACCCATCACCTGCTCTGTTTCTATGGATTAAATCTCCATGGTCTGATAAGCTGAAAATTGCTTGAGAGGGTATTACACATGCCTTCTAATCAAGGACACTTGAGTATGAATTACTCTAAGACACGTCTGTATAGCTCAGCATCTGATAACAGGCTTTAGAGAAACAGATATGGGATGAGTAAGCTTAGCTTTGTGATAGGGACTGGGCAATCCTCCCACAGGGAAGCCTCTAGAATAGAAAAACTCACCCTTTCTAGAACAAAACTGGGCCTAGAACATGCTTCCAAAGAATCCCAAGGACACCCACTGCCATCCCAAGTGATAGGTTATAAGCTGTGGCAGGAGAAACAAGGTTGTCTGGGGAGCTCAGGGTCCCTGAGGCCCATGACACATGGAGAGACTGGGCCCCACCAGGGCAGGAGCTTCCAAACCTACCATGGGGACACCTTACCTCTCGGTGTCGGAGCTGCAGGTTCTGTCCTTCATAATACAAGTTGTAGGTCTTGAGATGTAGAAGAAGCTCGTTCCTTGGGGGGAAATTACATTCTCAGCCGACGCCAGCACAGTGCAGTCATTCTTTGCTTTGCTCACCCCCCAACATGGCCTCAGTGGTCCTTTGAGTGCATGTCTACATGGGTGCACATGTGTATACACACACACAAACACACACACAGAATTCTGCAGCAACCACCCTATCAAATCTTCCTCCAGGACCAAGGTCAAAACAAATGTTAAGGAGCAGCCCCGAGATGGAGGTCAGCCTGGTCTACAGAGCAAGTTCCAGGCCAGCTGGGGTTACAAGACCCTGTCTCAAAAAGAGAAAAAGAAGAAACAGCAACACTGGAGTGTCATCGCAGCCACAGGGTAGCTGGCAGACAGAGGAGGTTAGCATCTCTACCAGCCTGACCAGGTCGTAGATAAAACGGAAGCAGCTGTAAGTCACAGATTCAGAGGCAAACACCCTTCCAAGTCCCAACGGGCTCTCCTGCTTCTCTTTGGAGTTTCCTTCCTCATGCATGCTGTGAGCAAGGACAGGTTGACTGCTATTGGTTTTCACAATCTCACATGCTGCTAGCCTTTTCTGAAAGTTAACTGGGCTTCATTGACAAAACTCTACGATATGCTGAAGAACTAATGAACGCCCAGCAACAGAATAGACGAATAAAATAAGTTATTGGCACACAGTAGAATATTATACAGAGATGAATATATGAACGTACTACATAAAATAAATGAGTCCTGCGTGTGTTGTGTTAAGTGGGAGAAGTGAGACACCTTGAGGAGCAGTGAGTGGAAATGGGCAGGAGGAGGCCTCAGGGCTGGTAAACTACTCTTGACACATACATGTGCCTCCTGTGTATGGAACAGTGCTGTTTCTGCACTCCAAGAGGAATGCAAAGCCACAGAGCCTGGAGAAGCTGCCTGTCTTATGTGTTTGCCTCTTCCCAGGCAGGAGGTAACAGCTCAGCCCTTCTCAACTCAGCCAGCCAATGGAGAGATTTTGGATCAAAATTCTAAGAAACTCCAGACAAGTTAGACATAGATAAAGGAGTTATTCTACCCAAGCTAGACTGAATTAGTGAAGAACTCAATTCCATATAACCTCAACTAAAAGATCATTGTCTGCTGTCCAAAATTCCTGCTCACTAGGAGTCCCTGGGAAAACCCTTCAGGGAAAAGGTAAAAACGTTCTGGATCTCACCCAACAGGCATGCAACCAGGTGTATCTAAAACAATTTAGTCTTAGGCTGGAGAAATGGCTAAGCACTGGTTACTCTTGCAGAGGACCCAGGTTTGAGTCCTAGTGCCCACAAGACGGCTACAACTATCTATAACTCCAGTCCCAGGGAATCCAACGCCCTCTTTTGACCTTTGTGGACATTGCATGACACAGGTGCACTTACATACATGCAGGCAATACGCTCATGCACATAAAAAAATAAAATAAAATATTTTTTAAAAATTAGTCTCAAACAAGCTAAACTTTTAAAGATGGAGAGCATTCAAGACTTAAAATCCTGGTGCTGGACATAAAGACATACATTTAGACTTGAGGAGGGACAGGCTGGAGGCATATCTTGGCAGAGTGCTTCCCTCACACATGTAAGATCCTGGGTTTGATGGGTGAGGGGGTGTATAAATTTCTACCAAACCTCTGTTGTTCTAACACAGTCTGCATCTCAGAAGCATCAATACACAGAAAGCAACAAGCCACTCTTTTTCTTTTTTCTTCCTCATAGTAGGAAATGAACAGGGCCTGAGCAATGCTAGATAAGTGCTATATTTCTGAGCTCCATCCCCAGCCTTTCTTTACTTTTATTTTGAGATGCAATCTTACTAAGTTACCCAGCCTTGCCTCAAACTTGCAATCCTCCTGCCTCAGCCTCCCAAGTAGCTGGGACTAAAGGTGAGTTCACCTCACCCAGCTGAACTTCCCTCTTTTATTCAGAGGGCACCTGTGCCTATTTCAGTCAGAACCACAGCAGCCCTTGGCACACCATCCCAGCCAGGTCTTCCCCAAGTACCATCACAGCAGGGACAATGAACAGTGTTTTCATTCACTTATGACTGCTATAACAAAATACTAGAGACCGGGGAGCTTAAAAACCACAGAAATTCACTTCTCAGTTGAATGTGATGCAGCAGATTCAGCATCTGGTGACAGCTCCTCACAGACAATGCCTTCTCCCTGCCTCCTCACATGGTAAAAGGACAAACAACACTCTTGGGTTTCTCTTCTAATCCCACTGGTGAGAGTTCCTCCCTGTCCAAGCCTTATGTCTTAATCTATCACCTTGGGGATCAGGCTTCAGTAGGAACTGGGGAGCACAAACACTCCAGCAGACAAGCAGACATCAGACAACTCGAGTCTTCCAGAAACCTTGTAGGACAGCACCAGTTTTGAACTCCCAAAAGATGCCCGGTGTCTTGTTCTGTTGACTTGCTCCCGTGCCAAGCTCAGTGGGGCGTGTTTTCCTCTCTGGCTACGGCTGTTTATCTTGCTGTTGCTCTCGCTAGTCCTAGGTCAGCTGCTTGTCTCATTCTCACATGAGATCCCCAGTTTGCTGGTGCATAGAGGAAACCCCCATCTCCCTAGAGTCCCAGCGGGGGACTGAACAGTGAGCATACACCATACAGCAAAACATCTTACTTGGAAATGTATTTATCCTGTCCACATGGGACTAGGGAAGTTTGGTTATTGTAGTCCATTCTTCCTTTCTCTTTTCATCAGAAGGAGAGGCCTGTAATTGAAAGAAGATGGAGTTTAAAGTCAGGTTGTAACCTTAGTAAAACCTGGGCAGCAAGCAGCAAGAGAAAATCAGATCTGCAGCCAGGGCTGCCCAGAGAGACCAGGGCTAATGAGACGCCACACCACCTCTGCTGGCCTCAGCCTCGAAGAAAAAATACCCCCAGGAAAGAACACTACCTCAAGTGCTCCAAGAATAAATGTCCCAGTCCAAGAGACTACCGACAGCCACACTGATCCCAAGGATGACCAACAAGCTCCTCCTTAAAAGGACCTCCTCAGCTCATAGCACAGTCTCATGCGGCAGGGATGGCCCAAAGTCTATGGGGGATGGGAAACCACCTGAGATGTCCAAATAAAGTCTTGCCCAATATACCACAGCACAGATCCATGAGTACTACCAGAGCACTCATTCATTATTGGGAAAGGCAATTCATTATTAGGAAAATAACAATGTACCAAGAAAATATGAATAATGAAACTACAGGTCTGATTCTGTTTAAAATACATGCAACAGTAAAATATACATACATTCCTGGGCACACTGGTACAAGCCTTTAATCACCCGGGAGGCAGGTGGATCTCTGTGAGTTCCAAACCAGCCAGGGCTACATAGTGAGACCCTCTCTCAAACAACAAAGAAACAAACTACATGTGTATATATTTATACATTAATGTATGTGAAAGCATTCTGAATTGCATGCCTGGGCCCTACTGACATAGCAGCTGACTGTTTTCCACTGTGGGGTCTGTCCTCTGCATTGGAAGATGTTTACCAGCTTCTCAGGCCTCTGGCCACTAAAAGTTAGTAGCTCTGCATAATCATGACAATCAAAAATGTGTCCAACACTGGGTTTAGTGACACATGCCTGCACCCAGTACTCAGGAGGCTGAAGCAGGAGGATATGAGTTTGAGACCAGCCTGGCCTACATGGTAAGTCCCATGCAAGCTTAGACTATATGGTGAGATTGTGTCTCCAAAAGGAAAGTCTCCAGACATTACTTAGGGTCCCTTTGGGTCAAAATTGGTTCTGGTTGACAGCCACTGGCACTTACATAGATGCACATAAATGAGTGAAAGGCTAGTGTTGCCTAGGCAATGACATTATCAGCAATTTTTTTCAAATATTTTATTAAGAGAATTCTCAAAGGTAAAAATGAAAAAATATGACAGCAAACAGGTCATGGTCCATGACTACTCCATCCTTAGTATCTTACTATTTACACTATCACTACCTGCCCATCTTTACACTTTGGCCATCTTTCCTGTTACCAACCCCTGTTATTTTTGAGGTATTTAAAAGTAAATTACAGGCACCAGTCTCTCTCTCCCTTAAACGCTTCAGCATCACACCATTAAACGGAGTTCACCGTGTCTTTATGGAAACAGAAGGAGCCTGCCCTGATGATACCTTGATCTTGACCCTATGAGAACTATACCAGACCTCTGACCTGCAGCACTGTAGGACAATAAATCTCTGTTGTTTTAAGCCCCTGAGTTTGGGTAATTGTATCTGGTAACCAAAACCATGGGACATTAATACAAAGGCTCCTAAGCTATGAGGGAAAGTAGGGGACACTCAGCCCATCTGTGTGCCCAATAGTGGGACCCCCCCCAAGGACACAGTGGGGTTCTCTAGATTCTAAGTAGTCCTGTTTTTCCAAAAAGCAAACATAATCTGACTATAAAAACCTTGCAGAAGACCCGGGTTTGAATCCCAGCACCCACATGGCAGCTAACAACTGTCCAAAACTCCAGTTCTAGGGGATCCTACAGCCTCTTCTGTCCTCCGCGGGCATTGTATAACATGGGTATACTTACCTACATGCAGGCAATACACCCATACACATAAAATAAAACTAATTAAAAATACAATATTAAAAGAAAATTCTGTCACATCAGTAATGTTAGATAAAAGCCAGGCAGGGAACAGCCACAGGCTCCGCGGGCATTGCACAACACGGGTGCACTTACCTACATGCAGGCAATACATGCATACTCATAAAATAAAAAAAATATTTTTTAAAAACAGAATAAATATGTACTGTACAGAAAAGGGGGCAGACAGGCTTGAAAGCCCTTCTTTTGTAAGTGGCACTTACTCGTACCTAGTATACCTGAAAGGTCCTCTTCCTACACACTTGCATAAATATTCACTGTGCATCTAGTTGTGCAGTAGCACTTTCCAGGCAATTCCATAGCAAAGCCAGTAGTTTTTCTGTCCCTGTCCTTGGCTGTAGGTATAGTAGGAGAGGACAGGATGAGGAGACAGCTCTACCAAGGGAGGGCAGGGCCATGGTACCACACAGGAAAAGCACTTCATCTGAATTTAGTTTGGGTCCTGAGGGCTAACTGGATGCAGTGACCCCGTATCTAAGATGTCAGTGGTGAGATGGTGCTAGGGGTGGGTGTGGCCAGGCAGGAATGCACCTCAACTTCTACAGGATAAAATGTAAACTTCTGAGGTCAGAGGGCACATAAAGTCACCAGGGAGAAAACAGAGAGGGTTAGGGGGGGTGGAAGGAGAAAAGCACCTGGAGGAAGAGGAGGGGAAGTAAGAGACAAGGTATTCTGAAAGCCTGTAGAACAGGGTGCCTAAGGAGGAGGTGGTCAGTACAGCCACAGCTGGTGGCAAAGCCAGGGAAGGGATACCTGGAGCCTGACTGAAACCACATAAAGGTCATGAAGGGCTTTGACCAGGGCCGTTCTACCACCTGGCTCCAGAAATAATTTGATGAATGGTGAAGGATGAGCCTAGAGCTAGCATCCCTCTCACCCCTAACACTAGGGAAATGCTGTTCAATTCTTCCTTTGCTTAATTCGCTTCTTCCTTCCATTGCATATTCTTCTGAAAACTCTTATCCCTTCTGTCTAGCACCATTCATCCAGTCAGTCACCCTCCCATCGACCCATCATCTTCTCATTCATTCCATCTTTCCATCTTCACATCTAACATTCTGTCCATCAATACTATCATCTTCCCATCCATTCATCCATCCATCATCCTCTCATCCATCCATCTTCCTGCCCATCCATCATCCTCTCATCCATCCTTCCTTCCATCCATCCATAATCCTCTCATCTATACATCCTCCAACCCATCTATTATCCACTCAACCATCATCCTCTCATCCATCTATCCTCCTACCCATCCGTCATCCTCTCCTCTCATCCATCCATCCTTCTACCCATCCATCAGCCTCTCACCCATCTGTCCCCCTACCCATCCATAATCCTCTCATCTATACATCCTCCAACCCATCCATTATCCACTCAACCATCATCCTCTCATCCATCCATCCTCCTACCCATCCATCATCCTCTCATCCATCCATCCACCCATCCATCATCCTCTCATCCATCCATCCACCCATTCATCATCCTCTCATCCATCCATCCACCCATCCATCCATCCTCTCATCCATCCATCCACCCATCCATCATCCTCTCATCCATCCATCCTCCTACCCATCCATCATCCTTTCATCCATCCATCCTCCCATCCATCATCCTCTCATCCATCCATCCACCTGCCCATCCATCCTCTCATCCATCCATCCACCCATCCATCATCCTCTCATCCATCCATCCTCCCACCCATTCATCTTCTCATCTATACATCCTCCCACCCATCCATCATCCTCTCATCTATCCATCCATCTTCCAAGTCTCAAATCGTTTGCATTCATAATCTCCATTCCCTATTTTTCTTAGGTTCTTCAGTTGATCTTCTAACTCACGGAGTGAACCTTCCGCACTCTCTTTGTTCACCGCCTCCATCATACTCCATAATTTGGTAATTTTTTTCTGCATCTGAAAGCAATCTGCCTTTTCTTAAGACAGTTCCCTTTTCATGCTACATCCTCTTAAATCCACTGAGAATACCAATTAGAGAATGTTAAGTCTTCTCTTCAGCTATTAAAATCTATTTGGTACTATAGGAAAAAATAGGCAGATCAATAAAACAATGCAGCACCCAGAAATAGATCCAAATATATGTGGGAGCACAGAGTGTGCGTAGCATTGCTAAATAACAGAGAAAAGAGATTAGCCAGAGGCATCTTGAGAGAGCTGGTGGGCTTCTGAAAAATGCAAGATAGGGAAGTAAAGTCTAACTCCCTCCAGCAAAAGATCATATATACATCAAAATTTTAAATATTAGATCCTTTTTTGGTTTATAAGCCCAATGATTGAATAGTTGTGTTACTGCATGCCATATGCCTTCCATAAACCTTGTTATGACATCAGCACATTACCTGTCTGACATGAAAGAAAAAAATTAAATATTAAAAAATAAAATGCTGGAAGAAATTAGGGGGTGTGTGTCTGTCTCTCTGTGTATGTCTGTGTGTCTGTATGTGTCTATGTGTGTCTGTATATCTATGTTTGTGTGTCTGTGTGAATTATGTGAGGATAACTCTTCCTATTCAACACTCAAGATTCAGAAGACAGAATTTAAAAATTGGTAAAACTATAAAAAATTCAACTTCTGGGGGCTAGAGAGATGGCCCGGCAATTAAGAGCACTCACTGCTCTTGCAGAGGACCCGGGTTTGATTCCCAGCACCCACATGGTGCCTATGAACCATCCTTAACTCCAGTTCCAGGGGAATCTGAAGCCCTCTTCTGACCTCCTGACCTCCGCATCATTGCACGACAGGGGTACACTCACATACATGCAGGCAATACACTCATACACATAAAATTTAAAAAAATTCAACTTCTGTTTAGAAAAAAACTATACCCTATAGAAAGTCAAAAGGCAAAGAACAAATGGGGGGAAACATTTATAACACATATGACAAAGGACTAATGTCACTAATATATAAAGGGCTTTAATATACCAATAAAATTCAAGTTATTAATAAAGTTGTGAAGTATCCCACCTCTCTCATGACCACTGTTTTACTTAGCAGATTGATAGAAATCAAGGAGTCTTATAGGTCCATCATAGGAATTCCTCCAACCCTACAGTCTCTACCTAGCTATAGGATAGTCTTATCAAGGTCACAGCAAGCACTCTGCCCATGGACCCAGGCTACCCTATCATGCTTTCTCTGGCCTAGATTCTCTTCACCTTTTTTTCTTATTTTTACATTTCATGAAGAGGAGTGTTGGGAAAATACTTACATAGCTACTATGTTGTTGAACTGAAACTGTAGTAAGTGGTCCTAGGACCCACTCTCTCCTCTAGAACATCTGCACCTCTTTCCATGAACTTTCTAACCGTCTCCACAAATCCCTACTACTCCCAGCCAGCTGAAAAAACTAGGCTAAATTCACAGGCATGGCAGGGAAATTCCAGAGGTGGCAATAACAAAAAGACAAAGTTTAGAGTTAAATTCCTCACACAGGAGGATCAGAGGAAGAAGGTTTAGGGGCTGGAATGTGGATTCAATTGGAAACTTCCTTCAAGGGTGACGGACATCTTCAGCCTGAGAGAGAATGACGTGCTCAGCTGCTGGCTGCAACCTTTCTGTCCCTGTTATTATTGAGAATTAGTAAGGTCCTATATTCTAAGTGCCTTACAAGAATTATTCATAAGCATCATGCCCCACAATGCCTTGAGACCAGACTGATAGTCGCCATGTCAGCCAGCATCTGAGGCACTCCTAGCTTATCACACAGAGAAAGAGAAGAGAGAGAGAGAGAGAGAGAGAGAGAGAGAGAGAGAGAGGATGGATCAGGGCAGGAGGAGAATGGGGAGAGGGAAGTAAGAGAAGTATGGGGGAAGGAACAAGAAAGGACAGATTTACCCAGATAATTACTATTATGGAGCTGCTCTTTGAAAATCTATTTATCTCTACTGACCTCTTACTGTGAACCAAGATGTCACACATGCAGGCCTTCTAAACCAGTGTGTTAGAAACTAAGGTGTATATCAAATACCCCCTACAAACAAAGCATGTCTGCTAAACATGCTTTGGAGCTGTAACTATTGTTGGACACAATCCACCTAGGCCCCAGTCACATCAGACTCACAAAGGGGCCACCAACCAGTCAATTTTCCTATGGCACTGGCTTCACACTTTAGCAAATGTTCCAGATTCTCCGTAGTTCAATGCCATCCAGCTTGCCAGGGGGAGCTATTTTATTCCACATGGAGGCCAATCATGACTTCCTATCTGCTTCAAAGAGAGATCATAGTCACAAACCTGTCTTCCCTAAGACCCAAGACAATATCCTTCCAAAGGAAAGTTTCCTTAGCTATTGAACATGATATCTTAACCACAGAGAGCCTTCTGGGCCTGCTTTTCATGCTCTGCAGGTGTCATTCAAGACTAGGAAATCCACAGGCTCATTTTTCTGTGAGAGAGTAAATGCCCAGGTCTCAAGAAGACTCAGGAAGTATGAAAGGCCACCACAGCGCCCTCCAAAGACAGCAGAACCCCGCTCTTCTCGGCCCTTTGTTTCCTCCAAATGCTAGTGCCTTCATTCCCTGAAGTCAAGGCGCCTGGAAGCTGGTTCATCTGAACACGGGTTCTGAGGTTCTGTCCCCTGGACAGAGACTAAGTGTCTGCAAGGGAAGCACCCCTTTGGTAGCAGCTTTTGTTTTTGTTTCCCAAACCTCTTCCTGGATGTACAGTCGGAGCTAGAGCTTGCCTCACCCCACCTTAGCAACTACGGAAGGATGGAGGCAAGGCAACACTCAGTGGACAAAACCCAGACAGCCCCAGACTCAGAAAATAGATTTGGGGAAGTGGCAGATAGGCTAGAGAGAGAACTCTCCACAGAGAGCAACTGGGGTGGCAAGCCCCACTGAGTCACCAACTGTAAAGGCCTCAGTTAACCAAGGATGGGCACTGGGAAGGGAGGTACTACTGGTCTTGAGACAAGTGACCCTCTCAGAATTGGGTCAGGGAAGGGGAGGAGAGAAGGATTGCTTCCAAACTCCTGATGTTGGGGCTGGAGAGATGGCTCAGAGGTTAAGAGCACTGGCGGCTCTTTACAGAGGACTCAGTTCCCCGCAACTACTTGGTAGCTGACATCAATCAATAATTCCAGTTCTAGGGGATCTGACACCCTCTTTTGGCCTCCTCGGGCATTGAATACATGGGTATATGTACATACATGCAGGCAAAACACTCATACACATAAAATAATAAATAAATAAAATAAAATAAAATAAAACTCCTGGTGTCCAGGCCAGAGTGCTGTCAAATGATGGCACTGACCTTGGGAGCCTCCCCACGTCGTGCCACTGTTGATTCAGGGCAAGAGCCACTGTAAAACCTGGCAGAGAGGTGAAGACCCAAGAGAACACCAAATGTATTTTAAAGTAGCCTATGTTTCAGGGAAGGACTAGAATTATCTAAAAGCAAACTAAGCTGGTATGCAGCACCCTCCCTGTTACTTTTGTTTTCAAAGAGAAAGGAGACAGCAGAGTGTCCTCAAGGTTCAAGATGTGCAGGAATACAGCCAGTGCAAGGGCCCCTTCTGGCAAACCAGGACATCCACCCACTGTCACAGAAGCCAGGAAGTCAGCCCCAGGCCCCAGCCTGATGCAAAGGAAATGCTTGCCAGAAGCCTCTGCTTCCCTTTTGGGGCCTGGTCCCCACCTCTTCTCAGTACCCTCCTCAAGGCAATCTGAATCTCCTGGGTTGGAAAAGAAAGTTATCTCAAGACTAACTAGTCAAGTCTTTGGAGAGAATCAGCTTTGTGAAGGAGCTATGACAGACAGGAGACAGTACCACCACCACCCCCCAATCAGGGCAGGAAGAAGGGCTGATGGCAAACAGGAAACCCCAGCCCCATTGCACCATACAAGGAAGAGGACTTGAGCTGTGGGCTGAGGCCCTGCCAAGATCTACAGATGACAAAGAAGATTTCATGTAGTGGTTCACAACTTACGCCTCCCCTGAGCATCGGCAAAATTTAGGTCTCCAATACTTTGCCTTCAACTACATGCCCTAGTCAATGGAGAGTCGACTTCCTGGGTAGGCTGTATCCTCTCAGGGACCTGCTCATGATCCTTCCCCAGGTCATCTTCATCCATTTCCCATCCTGTGTTTGGGCCCCAGGTACATACCCATAGTCCACCTAACACTCAGCCATCAAGGGATGACCCCTTCATCCCGTTCCCACCCTGTGTCAGAGTTCCCTAGCAGTGTGCGCCACCACAGGGAGCGAGCAGTGAAAGCACTCCACACAAAACTTTGCTTTTATTTTTAAGCCTTTCGGAATGAGGTTTTTTTTTTGGTCTTTTTTGAGACAAGGTCTTCTGTAGCCCCAGCTGGTCTGGAACTCAAAATATAGATTAGGCTGGCCTTGAACTCACAGAGATCTGCCTGCATCTGCCTTCCAAGTGCTGGGACTAAAGACGTGTGCCACCACATCTGGCTAGAATGAGCTCTGTTAGGAAAAAGAGCCTGGAGAACATGGGAGCCATGATTGGGGTTGGAGAGGATTGGCAGGGACAGGACATCACATCAGAACGGCATGATGGGGTGTTAAGGTGGAAGAGCATCTTAGGCATTATGAGAACATTAGGAGAGATAGGAAAGAGTAGGTAATTAGCCTCTAAGGACGGTATTGTGGAGGACCTGATAGGACAGAGGAGAAAGACTGAGAGAGGGGGAGCTGTGAGGAAAAGACTTTGCCTCTCTCTATCCCAAAAGAATTTCAAGCATCAAAGAAGAAAACGAAAGGTCTGAGGTTAGGTGACTTGTCTCAGGGCCCACACAAAGAAAAGCTCAGCCAGTGATCCTGGTGCAGTGTCTGACTGAGAGCTGGAGTGAGCATCTCAGCAGGTGGAGACATATGGACTGGCTCCAGTTACCAGCAACAGTCTCAGGAAAAGGGAGGGTGGGAGGAACTAGTCCAGTAGACAGGCTATAGGAAAGGCTGGACCCTGCAAGGACCAGGCCCAGCGCAAGGCATGCAGGTCCCTATTCAGGAGCTTGAGTACTGGAAATCACCGAGCCACTGACCCTCAGTCACAGAACCTATTCAAAGAGTGAACTACCCTTCTCCATCACAGGCCCCACAAATAGTCACAGAAAAAGCCTCAACTACTGGGAAAGGCCAGGCACAGGTCCTACCCAAGCCACCACACTCCCATGGGACGCTAGGCAGATGAGGAACTGTACACAGCAGGGGGCTGGGCTGGGATTCCCCCAGCAGCTGGGTCTACAAAGCTCCTTCCACACCACTGGGTCTCCAACTCACACGCAGGTCTGGACTCCCCAGCACAGGCATTGGGGAAGAGCTCAGGAAGTGCAGCTGGGCAACTGCCCAAAACACCTGCTTCCTGTTCCACAGCAGCAG